TCCACGTCAGCATGAAGAGCATTCTGTTCCTCAGCAACTCAATTAATCCAAGCAGACTTACCTATGTATTGCCGCACTACTTTTCCTAATACTTTGATTCAAAATTTTCCACATTACGTTCATCAATGATGTACACTTTTTTTTCCGCTGGGATTATCTTTAGGGGGTTGGGGTCTACTCAGTCTTAGTATGGAAGGTATGCTTTTCTTATTAGGTTCTTAAATTCTTTTACAAAATATTTCTTCATTAAAGTTTTAAAATTTTCAAAAAAATAATTGTCCTAGTTGCTCTTGTTCTTGATTTGATAGATAGTACCTCTTGTTTGCATAAACTAGGTCCAAGAGAACAGCCATGGGACAAACAAAATCCCTGCTTTCGTGGAGTTTTTATTCCACAGGGAAACAAACACTAGACACCTAATAAGTAAAAAGCGGCCAATGTATGATAACACTAAGTCCTATGGAGAAAAATTAGGCAGAACAAGGTGCTAGTGCGTGATTGAGTGTGTGAAAGGGTTTTGTTTAAATAATAAGTGGACCGTCACCAGGGACCTGAAGGAGAAGGAATCCTGACCGTTGTTACAGATTATTCATGGTTTAATCCCTACAATGGCGCTGCTGGTGCTTTATTCCTGATTTACAGATAAGAGAGGTGAGGTGTAAAAATACGAAGAAATGTGCTTGAAGCCATACTATTTACAAAGAGTAAGCTAACATTTGAACCCAGATCTTTTTCACACACACTTTTTTGTTGCTTGTTGGGTTTTGTTGTTTGTTTTATGTTAGTGGTGCTAGGGCAGTGACGGCAGAACTTTTAGAGCTTTCAGCACGTTCCCTAGGTTTGCCACCACTGTGATAGGGATTGAACTCGGGGCAAACATACTAGGCAAGCACTCTACCACTGAGCTACATCCCCAGCCATTTCAATTTGCTTTATTGTATTTTGAAACAGGAGCCCATTAAGTTGTTCAAGCTGGACTCAAACTTGTGATCTTCCTGCCTCGGCCTCCCAAGTAGCTGGAACTATCTACATGAGCCATCACAACAGGCTATAGGCTGTGTTTTTAATCACCTTCGTTCTATAAGATCACCCAGCTACCCACTGTCAAGACTTCTATGTGCACAATCATTGTGTCTAATAGAAAAACGTCAACATCATATTCTAAAATTTTAATCTTAAAGGAAAGAAGTAAGTGAAGTTAGGCTCACTAAACTGAATGAGAAAAACCCTCTCCATTTCCCCGGTGAGAGGGAAAGGATGGAGGGTCCAGATAGGAAACGGGGAAGAGGAAAGCCTGTTCTCCAGACACTGCAGGCCTGAGGAAGTGGGGTTTGACAGCAACTCAGTGATTTGTGGGAAGGTGAACTAACAAACCCAAGCCATCAAAGGGAAACTTATCTCACTTAAGGATCTTTTTCTTTCTGCCCCTCAAGTCCAAAGAGGAAATTCAGGATCAGTGGTTCTGTAGCAGAAAAACCAATGTCAATCCAAATCGAAGACTGTTTGTACCGAGAAGCAACTTTTATTATGCTAGTGAGCTGGGGAACGCAGAGGTTCAAATCACCAGCCCAGAGTCAGGGCTGAGTGCAGTTTAAATAGGGTTTGCGAGTGGGAAGTACAAAGCTGACAGCGGGTCACTACGTGATTGGTTGCATGGAAGACAAGAATCATGTCATCTATCGTCAGGCAGGTTTGTACAGGAACATTCTGGGAGGGAGGGGGTCTGAGAAGAGTAGGTAGAGTTGAAAGAGTCCTTGACTGGACCAGTCTTACCCGAACATGACAGCCTTCAAGCCCTTGAAGCAAGTAGGGATCACTGCATATTTTTAAAAACACAAGTCGGACACAGTCAGTTTGACCCACACATTGTTAAGGGGGAACATCTGGGCCTAGACAGTCAAGGTGAGCTACGTGACAGGGAGCACCAGCATAGTCACAGGCTATGAACTGATTTCTAACTTTTGCTATAATATGCTCACAAGTCTGCCATTCTGTAAGTGTGCTTTCATTACAGGGGAGAATCTTCTTCCTCAGCTGGCCCGGTTTCTTCAGTGTGAAGGAGCTGATAGGAGAAGCCGCCTGTAAGAGAAGCTGGCGGTGCACAGCTCCACAGCGTTTAGTCAGGAAGCGTGTCAGAGTGCAGACCATGCAAGGATCCGGGATGGCTCCCGCAAAGAAGGGAAAGAGTCTAAGGATCCCCACTGGGAAGAGCTTTCCATAAGATTTGGAAGCCTGTGTTTGAGGCGTTTCCACAGCTGGCGGGAGTTTTCTCTTATTATTCCTGAGTTATCAGCATAATAACAACACCCCTCCTCCAGGAAGAGGCAGGCACCCCACACTGGGCTGCCAGGAGATCTAAGTCTCTTTTTGATTCTGGAGGACGACTGAGCTAAGGAGTCTGTGTGACCCTGCGGAATGTCTATTGAGGTCTGACCGTGACCAGCTTGTGTTTTCAAAAATATGCAGTGATTCCAACTTGCTTCAAGGGCTTGAAGGCCATCATGTTTGGGGAAGACTGGTCCAGTCAAGGACACTTTCAACTCTACCTACTCCTCTCAGACCCCCTCCCTCCCAGAATGTTCCTGTACAAACCTGCCTGACATAGATGACATAATTCTTGTATTCCGTGCAACCAATCACGTAGTGACCCGCTGTCAGCTTTGTACTTCCCACTCGCAAACCCTATTTAAACTGCACTCAGCCCTGACTCTGGGCTGGTGATTTGAACCTCCGGGTTCCCCAGCTCACTAGCGTAGTAAAACTTGCCTTCTAACTCCTCGGTGCAAAGGGTCTTCCATTTGGACTGATACTGGTTTTTCTGCTAAGTTCAGGTTGTCAAGAACCCTTTCCCTCACACCTAGCTCTCCAGCTCTAGCATCAACTGCATATGGAGCATAAATAATAGCATCATAAACAAAAGTTGGGAAAGGTGCAGTTGGAAGTCAGAGGCCCCTTCCGTGGGTCCCACAAAGAGCCTGTCATCAAGGCCTTAATCAGCTCCAGCTATTAAAGAGCAGCCCTATTGAAGCCCGCCTTCCCAGCCTCTCCTGGAGTTTCCTGTGTGGGTGCTCGAAGAAGCAGAGATGTGCAGGGTGCGCGGCTACAGTGTGTGCAGGAGTGCGGGTGCACTGTGTGGAGTGCGCGGTACACTGCGTGTGGAGTGCGCAGTACACTGTGTGGGGGACTGCGGGGTACACGCTGTGTGTAGGAGTGCAGGGTACACTGTGTGCGGGAGTGCGGGGTACACACTGTGTGCGGGAGTATGCAGTACGCGCTGTGTGCGGGAGTGTGAGGTACATGCTGTGTGCGGGAGTGCGGCGTACACTGGATTGCGGTGTACATGCTGTGAGGAGTGCACGGTACACTGTATGCGGGAGTGCGGGGTACACTGTGTGTGGGAGTGTGGGATACACTGTGTGGGAGTGCAGGGTACACTCTGTGTGAGGGAGTGCAGTACACGCTGTGTGTAGGAGTGTGCGGTACACTCTGAGTGTGGGAGTGCGGGGTACAGCTGTGTGCGGGAGTGAGGTGTACACTCAGTGTGGAGTGCGGGGTATACTGTGTGCGCGAGTGCGGCGTACACTGGATTGCGGTGTACATGCTGTGAGGAGTGCACAGTACACTGTATGCGGGAGTGCGGGGTACACTGTGTGTGGGAGTGCGGGGTACACTCCGTGTGGAGTGCAGGGTACACTCTGTGTGGAGCGCGGGATACACTGTGCAGGAGTGCGCGGTACACGCTGTGTGTAGGAGTGTGCAGTACACTCTGAGTGTGGGAGTGCGGGGTACACTGTGCGGGAGTGCGGGGTACGCTCTGTGTGCGGGAGGAGTACACTCCGTGTGGAGTGCACGGTACACTGTGTGTGGGAGTGCGGGGTACACGCTGTGTGCGGGAGTGCAGGGTACACTCCGTGTGGAGTGCGGGGTACACTGTGTGTGGGAGTGC